TCCTTGTAAGACTGCGAATACTCTCGGGCTTTTCCCAACGCCTATGTGAGCAATATGCCCCCCCCCCCCCCCAAAAAAAAAGGCACCTTTGCTAATCGTCTCAGTGTCTTTTTGTCTCCAAACTTTGTGAAAAGGTGCGTTTTTTACCAGCTGTACATGTACATCATGTCCAACTCAAATTAAAACACCAAACAAACCCATCCCCGATGACCAAAGTTCAAATTAATATGAATCTAAAATCGAAATGTTTGTCCAGTGCGCGACTTGTTGTGGGGAACATAGAAATACAGGGCGTCCGTGCGTTTGTCCGCCCGGTCTTGTTAGCTCTCTCACGTGTACAATTTTTGCAAGATTTTTATAAAACTTGCATATTAGGTTTATGTATCAGAATTGTTGCTGATAAGTTTGAAATCAGTGATTATCATATTATTTTTTAAAGGGTTTTGCCCTTCGAAATGTTAATTATATCGGAAATTGCATTGCAATTGCTCTCAAGCCTGCAAAATTCTCTATTTACGATATTTATGGGGGAAAAAAATCAAAGAACAAACAATTTGTTTTAAAGTTATAATGGCCATTGACAGATACAATATGTACAACGCGGGAAAAGGGGGGAAGGGGGATTGGAACTCAGTTCTTTTATTTAGTTTGTTTTTTGCGTTTGAATAAACTAAGTTAATGAAAATATCTTTTTACAACTTGTTTCGTTCGAAGCGCTTTTCTGGATTTACCTTCATCGAAGCACTGATCATTCATTTAAAGTGAGGCCACAGGTTTTTAATGAATTGTTTGATTGTAAATTTCGAGAGATAATTTATTTCAGAATGGAATTGAAAGAAAAAAATGTAACGGGATCTGAATGATTTAATTTCATTTCGTCCTAACGGAGTGCACATTTAGTATTGATATCCCATATGATTAAGCTTTTGTTAAATTTCTTCTTATTCCGATGTAGCTGTCCTGTTTAGACTGTGTCTATAAGATTACAATGCTAGTAGTTTATTTTAAACAAGCTTCCGAAACCATATCAGATTTATTCTGTACAGTCTAATAAATTTCAAAGACTGTTTACACTTGAAACAAAGGGAAAGTTGTTCGGCAAAATAGCTAAGTTCAACTACTCTTCTTTTTCCATTCCATGCCAACAAACCATTTTCTGTCTGAGTTTCCACGTCTGCTTGTACGGTGCCTTTTTTCTCTCTAAATTCTATCGGTATCCTTTCTTAAATAAATTTCCACATTCTATTTTGCTAACGACGTTTTTCGGTGTCCATTTAAAAACGACTGAGCTTCTTAGCGGAATTGCATTACTTGTGGTACCATTCCCCATATTGTCACACATTATCATGCGTTTCTATAATTTGGATTTCTGCTTTAAAACAAAATTTCATCGGGAAACGACGTGCATCATTAAGGTGGTACCCAACACCTTGACTAATATTAATTTGGCTCGTTTAATTTTCATAAAATTTTGACAAAATGTTTACTTTGACCCTTTGACAAAAATATAAAAATTTCAAAAAATTTGAACCAACCACTTTATCAGAAAAATTTCATTGGTTATATAGCAGTTTGACAAACACTAATTTTGATCATTGAGAAGCTTAATATATCCTTAACAATACAACGTGATTAAAACGTTTAGCTGATTTTTACAGAGTTATCTCCCTGTAGTGTTAGGTACCACCTTAATAAGAATGAAGTGGAAAAAAACCAACCAAGAATAAAAAGGTCAGCCTGTTATACATAAAAACACATATAGATAAATCGTACAAATACTTACTTATCAATAGAAACAGAACATTAAAAAGTATATATTTAAATGAAAAGAATGAGAAGAAGAATGGGAGGAAGACGACGAAGCAATCAATGTCAAATAACGTATTGCATCAAATCCCTCAACACTCTTGAAAGGTTAATACGTGTGATTTTTTTTTCTAAGTTTTGTCCCCAACAAAAATGTAATTTGTTTTGTGATTGAATATGATACGGATGGAAAGCGACGCTAAAATGACGGTATCTTTTATATATAATCATATATATTTTGCAAATTTGAAATAAAGAAACATTTATCTTTCAACTATTTTATACAGTTGGAAAGCAAGTCCTTGGAAACGTCCGTTGTCGTCAAGCTCTATCAGCAACAATAGCAGGGGGAATTAATTAGGTGGCGCTACAGTCGTCGGTGACGTCAAAAAGTCCGCGAAATAAATCGGCTAAAATCGACGTTTAAATTAATTTTTTCAACTTGTCACGCTTTTATTATAATCGATTTTTAAAGTTTGTAGATTTTGTGAACACTATAGTTTCAATACGACATTGAAACATTGTCGAAAATAACTTTTATTTGCTATTACTTTATCCTGTCCGTTCTAAAAATGATCAGCCATCTTTTTTGTTCGCCCAAAACGTCGAATTTATATAACTTGACGTTTGCGTATCCAAATACGGAATAGAACGTTAAAAATCTTAAATGAAACCGGGTAACCTATTTCAATTTCTACACAATTATGAAGCCATCATTTTTTACTATTATACATCAATTTTGGTGACCACCAGTCATGTCAATTTGTACCTGGTTTTGGCTGCGTTTCTACTTCAAAACAGTAAAGTTCAACTTCTTTTCATTGTAGATCTACCTGTTTCCAAAGTACTCTAAAATACTGATTTTATTATAGATATGAATGAAATTGTGATTAAAAATTGTTGTTTTTCACAATTCCATACGATATCTCCATTTTAAAGTAATTAAACCCCTTTTTGATCCCCTACACAAATTGACGGTGACATTGTTTTCTTTTTCAACATACGTCATATATAACGTTTACAAAATATGTGTCAGGGTCATGTGCATAGTGAAAATTTACACATTGGACAAGTGAAACAACAAACAAAGTTCTTCTTTATGGCGTTTGAAACAATAGGTCTAAGAAAATTTCATTTATACTGGAAGCAAATATGACAAATTAATGATGGCCTATGAATAAACAAAAGCACAAAAATAGCAATAGAAAATGCATTGCAAAGAAAATTTCTGGAGGAAAAAACATATGAAAAAAGGAAATGAAGGTCAGTTAAAAGTATATTTATATTTTATAAGTTAAAAACCTTGCTTATCAATTATCTCTTTACTAAGTAAGCTACATTAATAAGAGCAAACACTAGCTTTTTAAGTCTAACAAGAAATTAATTCATAGAGATGTGTGCTTACAAAATTGAATTTATTCAAATGGCAAAATCTTGTCTAATTTAATCATCATTGATCATTATTAAAGTAAAATGCACAAGATTTGTCGAACCAACTTTCATTTCTGAGATTAATATCCAATTATTCAGGTAAAATATACAATACTTTGTTTATAAATATGTAAAGCAGCAGATACAGCAACCTGAAGAGAAGAAGCCCCAATTTTTTTTCAAAATGTTTACTTTCATAATCTATAAAATGCAAAAGTTTAAAACAGCCTTCCAAGACGTCATAATTATTTGGACTATAAAATACCCTGAGAAATTGGACAAGGGCTACTGTGCTAGCTAATCTTATAGTTGAATTTTACATAATAATGATTTTAAAATTCAAAATTATGTCACTTTCATTTATAATTTTAAACATTATTTTTTTACAGAATTTTTGTCATTTTTTTGGTAAACTTATCCTTTTTCTGTATGATATTTTCTAGGCAGTACTGTACTGTTCAACTAAGAAATATAGGCTTGAGTTAAAAGGTTTTTTTACTTTGAAGAAACTAAACTGTTACTCTTGGTCCCACTTTATCAAAATATAAAATATAAATGGTCAGTACTATTTTTTTTCAGAATTGTATACAGTCTGTTTTATTGAATTAAACATTGTTAGAAGTAGTTACATTAGGAGTGATTCCATATCCCATTATAAAAAATTACAAACTGAAAGTAAATTTCATCAGCCAGGGCTAATTGATATCAATTCAGCTAGGTTTCTAGATCTAATTTTTACCAATTTTTTTTCTTTTAATTTTTACCTGTAATCCTTCTCTGAAAAGTAGAGAAGTATCTCTTCTTAATATTATAATAACATAGTTGTTAATCGTCTTTCTTTTTTTTTCTTCTTGATTTTTGTAAAATAAACTCCTTTTTATTCATTTTGGTGGGTTTTTATTTTTTACTGGTGATATCAAGGGGAGATAACCACTTGCACAAATCGGCAAAAAAACCACCGCTTCGTGTTGAACATAACTTGACGTTTGCGTATCCAAAACTGTATTGCCTAGATATTCATATCGAGTGTTTGTCTCAATGAGATGCTTTATCAAATTTAAATTCAGCCCATCAACGGCATCATTTTTAGTTTCCTCGAAAATATTTAGATTTTTCGATCAGGAGCCTTGACAATTTTCACACAAACTTCAAGTTTGAAGATAAAATAAAGAATAAAGGACTTTGAGTTGATGTGTAAGTTTTGACGAGTTAAAACTATGTATATTCAAGATTATTTTGATCAATAAGTTTTTACTATGACAGTGGTATTTTAGTGAGTAAAAGTGAGGTTTGTCTCATCCGTAGTTTTACTGAATTTTCACGGTCACGTGACTCTATTTTTGCTGATAGACTTGGGGTCAAACCGTGACCTGCTTTCCAACTGTTAAGTTGTTATAAAACATAAGGTTTTACGTTTGTCGTTTGCCGTCAATTTCATGGATGTCGACAACAGCAGGAACGAGAACTCGTGGCATAACGTCATTCGGTATCGTGTAACCTTAAGTTTCTGACAAGAACATACTACTACTTTAGTCCGCATGAAATTGAAAGATTGAGTGATACATGTCAAACATGTTGAATTGAAAAATCCCTCTTGCATGTATTGTTAGAATGACAGGCATACAGTGATATTCTGAACGTTTCTTTTCTGATTTGCAGGAAATTCTTTTTAATGCAGGAACTGGTATATTTGTTCAGAGTTGCCTCATGATTATGTATTTATACTGCCTGCACAGTGTTGAATATTTTCATATTAATTTTAGGTACAAGACTCCGTGAAATGGAAATTACGGTTGGTCGAAATTTAGGAGCCATGGAGCTATGCCAGAGATACAGAGGCCCGGCTAGGGATGGACAAAAGTTAATTCTGAAATGCAAACACGCTGTATCAGGCCATTTTGTCAAGATTGCCATAAAAGGCAAGGGATGCTTAAATCTAAATGAAGTTAAAGTGTATGCGAATTTCAAGAAATGTTGAATTAATTTAATAAAGATGAAATCTGCTCTTTTTTGTTTTTGGTTTTATAAGAGAATGCATATATCATTCAGTAAGGTCTAGATCACTAAGCTGCTGATAGAACACCTGCTGATATAGCACCATCAGCTGGCAATATGGCACCTTTTTGGTAAAGGAGTAAGCCCAGTAAGACCCCTTTTTGGCCCCAAAATATAGCAGTTTTAACAAATTGTTAAAATGTAAATTGTTAGCTATTTATTGGAAAGAAGAATACTTCTGTTACATAAAGATGGGCTGTTTTTGACAATACAATGCACATGTATCGGGTACTAGCATCATTAAGTCATGCTAAATTACTGAAATCTTCGAAATTTTAGCATTTTGGTTAATTTTTAGACGGTTTCCGTCTGAAATGGAAGTGGCCGCATTTGTGTTCATTCTTAATATTTAAATGTAAGTTGTATTTGATGATAATACATAACATATATAAAGGTTGAGAATGAACACGGATGCGGCCACTTTCATTTTTGACAAAAACCATCTGAAAAGTGACATATTATGGCATATTTGATAGATTTTTCATATTTAAGCTTGAATTTAAGCGTCTTTCATGACTAAATCAGTTCAAATCTTTCACATAAACTAATTGAATCGACTGAAGTAGACACTTAAGTGTTTATAAAGTGTCCAAAATCTTTCATCAGATGAACCTGAATTTTGAGGCCAAAATCGGCCCTTACCGGACCTACTCCTTTAAACTATTGAATTGCTAAAAAGAAACATTGACGAGATGTGCGCTTCCACAACCATTTTTAAATGACACATACATCCACAAATGGATTTTTCTCAAAAAGATCTAATATACAACTTTTAACCTAATTTGAATTCTTTCGTCAGGATTAATTTGAATTAATATTTTGAAAATGTAAGTATTTTTCATTGGCTTTGTAGTATCTCCTTTAGATTTAAATATTATGTAAACTATAAGCTAAAAGACTAAAATGTAAATTTCGTTCTAATTATTTTTCATATAACTAGACAAATAATGAAGCCTGTCCTGCCATATGCATGAATGAAGTTCTCGATGGGGTGTTTATATAATAGAGAATAATGGACAAAGACTACAGAATGGACACAAAAAAAGGAATAAAAAATAATATGATAAAAATAAAGAATCATGTTAACTTAACTATAAACTAAAAGACTAAAATGTAAAATTCGTTCTAAATATTTTTATATAACTAGACAAATAATGATGCCAGCCATATACATGAATGAAGGTCTGGATGGGTGTTAACACAGAATAATGGACACAGACTACAGAATGGACAAAAAAATGAAAAGAAAATGATATGATAAAAATAGAGAATAATGGGATGCTAAAATATAACGAATAGAGAATAATGGGGTGCTAAAATATAACGAATAGAAGAAATGGGGTACTTAAATATAACGAAAAGAAGAAATGGGGTACTTAAATATAACGAATAGAAGAAATGGGGTGCTACAATATAACGAATAGAAGAAATGGGGTGCTAAAATATAACGAATAGAAGAAATGGGGTGCTTAAATATAACGAATAGAAGAAATGGGGTACTTAAATATAACGAATAGAAGAATTGGGGTGCTTAAATATAACGAATAGAGAATAATGGGGTACTTAAATATAACGAATAGAAGAAATGGGGTGCTTAAATATAACGAATAGAGAATAATGGGGGACTTAAATATAACGAATAGAAGAAATGGGGTGCTTAAATATAACGAATAGAAGAAATGGGGTGCTTAAATATAACGAATAGAAGAAATGGGGTACTTAAATATAACGAATAGAAGAATTGGGGTGCTTAAATATAACGAATAGAGAATAATGGGGTACTTAAATATAACGAATAGAAGAAATGGGGTGCTTAAATATAACGAATAGAGAATAATGGGGGACTTAAATATAACGAATAGAAGAAATGGGGTGCTTAAATATAACGAATAGAGAATAATGGGGGACTTAAATATAACGAATAGAAGAAATGGGGTACTTAAATATAACGAATAGAAGAAAATGGGGAGCGGTTGTTTTTCATTTGAATTTATTGTCAAAAAAGAAATGCACAACGAAATAACTGTGGTCTCGCGCCAGTTAACTACAATTTTTTTTAGAATTCTTCGACTGCACTACCTACTACTCATCCCGTAATTATGATCCAAATTCAAAGCTTTGACTTTCGGCCTCTTTTACTTATCTACTTTTAATCTATATCATATCATGATTTTAAGAAACGGTAAAATAACAAAAAACCTCTCCACACTTCGAATACCCATGTGCTTAAAAATCGCGTTCATAATATAAATTCCACTGCCGCTAATCGAAATGTACCTTCAAAATATAACACATGACGCAATCATGACAATTGTGTTAAAGGAGGCAATGCCTCTGCAGCTAGATTGTTCAACAAAAACGCACGTGGCTATCAACAAATATACCCGTGCAATGCCAGAAAATGACAAAACTGCTCCAGATTATCTTCAGATAATACTGTTCAGTCATCAGTGAACGTAAGAACCTTTCCTCTCTCCTTTTCATGTGACATTACTTGAAAAACCCAAAACCTCATATATCTTGTAACATGAACAAAACAGAAATGTAATATTCAATATGTAAGGCAAACTGGACGTGAATTTTTCAAACGAACACAAGAACATCTATACCGCCTCCGCAGACCTAAGAAATTCAAAAATTTAATTTACCAACATTTGGAAAAAAACAAACACTATATTAAATTTGTAAAATTCCAACCACTTCAAACCGTCCTGAAACAACCAGGACGTCAGTATAGCAAATAATGCTCCTTTGACATAAGACTGTGAAACATCGAAGTTTAGCTATGATCCTTATGACCTTGTACTTACAGGGGACCTCAAAATCGTTAAAGACCGAGAGGTAAACTTTCTGAAAAAAGGACCAAAATATCGTCCACCGTCAAAAATAATTGGGTAGAGTGTCGTCAGGTTATCAAAGATGTTCTTTCATCCTATTGTAAAAAGTAGTGTAAACGGGAGAAATCTGACAAAAAATCACTTGATTCCTATTCAAAAAAATAGAAATAAGAAGATGTGGTATGAGTGCCAATGAAACAACTCTCCATTCAAGTCACAATGTGTAAAAAATAAACCATTTTAGGTCAAAGAACGGCCTTCAACACGGAGCCTTGGCTCACACTGAACAGCAACCTATAAATGGTCCCAAAACGACTAGTGTAAAATGTCTATATATTCAGGATCTACAACGTACGTCACGAGTCACGTGATATTTGTAAGTTTCCAGGCGCCATTTTTTGAATTTTGAAGCGATCAAGGTAAGAATTCTATGATTTATTTGCCAAGAAAGCATGTATCGGTAAAAATATATAGACAAGCACATAACAGGGGTCAATACTGACATGGTTTAGCATTACTGTTTCATGTTAAACGTCCTAACTTTTCAAACACTCTCAAAAACCGTGAGCGGATCCTGTATCGTCTGTACAATGTCAACACTGACATTTGTAGAAATTACTATCTTTTCCCCCGTAACAGAATGATAAATGATAGCATAGACCAACATGAACATGAGACAAGAGGATGTACACTTACTTTCCTGTAAAATGGAACACGATATTTATTGATACAGGTTCAAAGAAGGCAATGAAAACATGAAAAATCGGGGTTCTCTGGTTCTTTGGTTCCGATACTGCTTTGATTGTATAATCTAATATCAATATTATGAATTTCGTTAATATGCTATTATGCTGTACCATTCAAATCCAATCTTGTTCGACAAATAAGTAAATATAATATGAAATTAAACGTAAAATAGTGATAGTTCACCAGTTTCGTGCATGTTATGTGGGGTACAGTGGGTACCTTTCTCCTTTGTCCTGCCTTTTCTCCAGCCCCTTTTCCATTTCTCTCGATCATTCTCTTGAATTCTAGTCATATCGGCACCTGGTTAAACCACATTGTTGGGCTGATGTTTAAACGAGTTGTATATACAGAATGTACACAGCCATGTATCACCATCACTGCTGGTGATCCGATGGATAAATCTGTTGTAGAGTTGTCACTAGTTCAGACGTACTTATAAATATAATTATTTCTGTGACTGTATCTTGCATTATTTGTAGGATCCTTTACAATAGATATTTCAGCTGATCTGTAACAATTCCATCTTCATGCCTTATATATCATGTACTGTATAACGACGCTAGATTAAAACTGACGAGGAAAGGTAACACCCGGCCACCGAAAGCTTTATTATTGTGAAGCCTAGGTGGTCGAGTGGTCTAGCGCGTCGGATACAGTGCAGGCGATTTGGTGTCACGATATCTCAGTAGCATGAGTTCGAATCCCGGCGACGGAAGAACTAAAAATTTGCGAAAGCAAATTTACAAATCTAACATTGTTGGGCTGATGTTTAGACGAGTTGTATATACAGAATGTACACAGCCATGTATCACCATCACTGCTAGTGATCCGATGGATAAATCTGTTGTAGAGTTGTCACTGGTTCAGACGTACTTATAAATATAATTATTTCTGTGACTGTATCTTGCATTATTTGTAGGATCCTTTACAATAGATATTTCAGCTGATCTGTGACAATTCCATCTTCATACCTTATATATCATGTACTGTATTACGACGCTAGATTAAAACTGACGAGGAAAGGTAACACCCGGCCACCGAAAGCTTTATTATTGTGAAGCATAGGTGGTCGAGTGGTCTAGCGCGTCGGATACAGTGCAGGCGATTTGGTGTCACGATATCTCAGTAGCATGAGTTCGAATCCCGGCGACGGAATAACTAAAAATTTGCGAAAGCAAATTTACAAATCTAACATTGTTGGGCTGATGTTAAGACGAGTTGTATATACAGAATGTACACAGCCATGTATCACCATCACTGCTAGTGATCCGATGGATAAATCTGTTGTAGAGTTGTCACTGGTTCAGACGTACTTATAAATATAATTATTTCTTTGACTGTATCTTGCATTATTTGTAGGATCC